AGAGGAAAAATCTCCTCGAACTCCTTGCCCTGGAAGAGGGGCCTGCTCTCGTGCTTTGTGCAGAGGAGAGCCCAGATCACAGATGCGGTGGCAGGGGCCAGCATCCCACCGGGATTGAGATGCCATGCCTGGATACCTCCTCGCGATGCCACTGCGAAACCATGGTAGCGTAGCCCGATCCAAATGAACAAAACAATGGAAAGAATTCGAACATTTCTTCTTCTTCTCGGTGGGCAATCGCCGACGGCACGGCAATGGCTTGTGCGACAATCGGAGGCTGGCCGAGGCTGGCGCGGCAATGCAAAGCTGAGGCGAAGCTGATTGTTCCCAAGGAACGGTAATAGCGACTTGTAGGTTGTGGTGTGCTGGTGCAACCAGCTTTGACACACACACACACACACACACACACACACAGAAGCACATCAAGATGCCGAAATAACCAGGAGAAAACGCCCGAAGAAGAGCCAGAGTTTCGGTGTGGCAGGTTCAGTAACCGCATCGAAGGAACCTCTTTTCTTTCTGGAAGACCGCCCCCCGTGCCCCCAAGACGGGCACGCAAGGCACGCAACAGGCTCATCACACACACACAGACGAAGGGGGGCGTGTGTCCCTATTTTTTACCCCTTGGGACGTTAGTCCGGGCAGAGATGGCGTCGCAGTTGGCCGGTGCTATCCCTATCCTGGTGGCACATCCGGCACGCTGTGTGTGGAGTAATTAGTTGAAAATGGGGACAGTTAGAGGGTCTGAGCCGGCACGCCACGCCATTGGTGGCCAATGTTCGATCAAAGTTGGGACGGGGAAGAGAAAACTGAGATGTGCTCGATGAGCGATGCGAGTATTTGGTCTGATTGCCGATATTATGACTCGAGAAGAGGCAAAATATGGACTCTTCCACTTGTTCTCTTGAGTCTGCATCCGTATGTGTATGGGTTGTCCGCGTGGGTTGGCTCAGCTCGGGTGAATCAACTCGCTTGATGTCGCTTCACATGCAGGCTGCAGCAGCGGATCGTGGGCAATCTCCATTGCTCATTTATTGGCAACCGGCCGAATCCTTCGGCACTCTGCCCTGTACTCGGCTCAATGACCGGATTTTGTCGGATTATTCGCGGACTGGCCCAGGACTCCAGGGGAAGGTCAATTCATCCATAGGCGGATCTCGACCTTTCTCTGGAAGACCAAGGGGGTATATTGGAAGGGTTTCCGATGCTACCCAGCAGAGTAAATGTGGCCTGAGAACCCAATACTTTTGTCTCCTTTCTGCCCCAGCTTTGGGGGGTTTGTAAGGGTTCCTCGGTGATAGATTAAATGTTTCTGACCTGTCGTCCGGGGTTCATCGTATCTCGCCGGATGCACCATGAAGGATCGGGGCTTTGTTTGAAAGGGTTTGAACTCTGTGGAGAACGAGTGGAGGCAAAAAGCCTGAAAGTTAGAAGAGCGGCCAAGTTTTGCTTTTCCACCGTGCGTTTTTGTCTTCGTCATCTATCCGCAAGTTGTGTGACGGCCTTCCGCAGTCTGCAGATATTCTGCGTGTTGATAATAACGGCAACCCGCGTTGGGCACTGACGAAAGGCGTTGAACCGCCGAGGGCAGAAAAAACAAAGAATAAGAGCGGACTAAGAGAGAGCTAACCTCGGGTCAAGTGGCGGTTGCGAGATGAAGAGACGAAAGAGGCGCAACACTAGCTACTCGTGTTCCCATCTTCTAGTCTTGTTCTAGCGGAAGACATCGGACACCACTGCGGCACCGTCGCATGCACCGCCGAACCATTGACGGCAATTCAGCAGCCCGTTAACCGTCTCTCCCCGGAGCGCCGCCGGGCGTTGTGGAGTTTCTGACTCTGCTTCAGCCTTCACCTCGCGGATGTTCTTCGGTACCTGTGGTTCCTTTTTTTCTTTCTTGTACCAGTCTTTCAGCTGCGGCCTACCCCCTCGTATGAGACGGCGGACCATACGATGGGGCACTTCTGATGCCATGTTCCTTGTCGCAATCACGCCGGGACCGGGGTTCCGGTGGCCGGCCGTCTGTGAGTAATGGGAGAGTACTGGGGGATGAGGTGTTTTGCGGCTTGCTTGCCGCTTGCCTATGCCTTGCAACACCCCCCCCCCCTGACCTTAGGGCAAAGCCACGCGGCGGGTAACCTGGTTTCCGTGTGGTGATATTGGGGGCCGCGAGATTGGTGTCCATGATGAGCCATTAGTTTCCGGCGATTGGGTTGGAATGGGGGAATCATTTCATCTTGTTTAGATTTTAGAACGCATCGGAAAATTGTCACTGTGGATGACGAGATTGTGCTAAGATCAAATGTCTCAATTCAGGCATTTGTATGGTCTCGGACACGGGTCGGAACCCTCTCTTTCAAATAAGAGCCAACAACCAAATGTCATGCGCTTTTCGCATCTGTCCTGCAGGCAACCTGCCGGCTCTTAGGGCTCTAGTCTGATTTTGAAAAGCAGAGTCAGCCAACGTGATTCGCCAATGCCCAAGTCCTCAGCCCCCTCGAGTTTCGCGGGAAGATCGATGTTGTGCGAGAGGCGACTGGTTCATGCGAGCACGGGCTGACCTTGGCCACTGTCCCCAATTTTCTGCCCAGTTCAGGCTTACACGTGGATCCCGCTCCACGGTTCTTTTGTCTCTGCCTGCGTGCCTGTGTTGCTTACTGTGATTTTGTCAGACTTGAGTGGTAGGCTGATGGCGTGTCAGACATTGACGAATGGCCCTGTTTTTTTCTCCTGTTTCCATTTTTGTTACTGTTTGTCTACTATCTAGTTTTGCCTATTGAATCCTGTCAATGAAGGGGGCAGAGACAGGCGTCGGAGCAACTCGCAGATCCAAGGGCCCGAAAACCCGGTTCGGTGCTCGGTGATGGCTGATGTACACTATCCGTACTAGCCCTGCTGCATGTTTGGTCTGCTAGAGAGCGGCGTAGAATGGCCATGTGGTTTTAGCAAACAATCTTGGCTGCAGCATGCAATCTGATTTTCGCAAACATGCATACCTTGATCATGTAGTAGTAAAGTTTTCCTGCGTTGTTAGTCAGAACAAACTCACAAGTTCTTGACTGGCAATCCCTGGAATTCTTTTCTCTCTCTTTTTTTCTCTTGTCCTTCCTATTTAGAACGGCAGAGTTCGCTCCCGAACCAGGATTTGCACAGAGTTCAGACGAACGGAGATGGCTTCCTCTTCTATCCTGCTGCGACACTGGTGGGGGGGAAGCATTAGGTTTTGACAGCTATACTGGCATATCGGTATTCTCTGCGACAACATGGTCTGTTGCATTCGACACGCCGGCAACTTCGCCCACGTCTTCCGAGTTTTAGGAACATATGACTAACTCCATACTTACTACTTAGTCACATTTTGTTTGAGGAAACATTTCTGTACAATAGTTTGCAAGCCTCAACTGGCAGCCGTTGGTACCGACAGACGCCACAATATCCGAGGGCATCGGACTGATCATTCATGTCTTGCCAATACAGCACTCGAGACTTAGGTGACATCGCGCTAGAAAAAACGAACAATAGAGTTCAAAGGCTTGGCAAGGGTCACGATCAACAATCAAACCAGTCGCTCGGTACGCAAACTTCCTTTTCGGGAAAGGTATCCGCGTTTGCGGCCAAAAACTGACTTCGCCCCTTGCAATGAACGCACTATTGCTGTGCCGCTGCCCGCAACAGCAAACCCAGCGAACCCAGGGGTTTGCTTTCAATGTCCGAGTCCGAGTCTTTCCAAGAATCCAATCCACCGGAGTTGATCTCGGAGGTGGCTCCGTCGTCCTTCATCCCCGTGCATTTATCGTGACCCCCAGAGAAACATTCGTGATGGCTTAGCCCACTACTCAGAGTGACCTGCAGCTTCAATGTTACGATCTCACGGAGTTCTTGCCGGATGTCAGGCAAAACTGGTATTGGGGCGAGGTTCACATTCAGGATTCACGGAGCTCCTCCGACTACGCCGCTTACAGATTATGATTGTCACAAATGACAAGCTGCCAACTGCCGACAAGTTTGTGTTGTCGTTCTCGTGTAACATGCATCCCACAAACTACTTAATGTGTGGCAGCGAAGGAAGGAGCAGCGATCGGTGATCTCTTGATTCTAATTTCAGCCCACGTTTATAAATACTCCATCTTGGCAATGCCAATTTTGCAGACACGTCACACGGTTTTACAAGTAGCTCGTTGTTTGTGACCAGATTCCAAATCTATTACTTGACTCATGGATGAACACAGTGCAACTAGGACTGCTTCCTCAGCTCTTACTCTTGAACACTTTCGCACCAAATAACTTTCAAATGTTGCCATGCTCTCAGTCTTTATGACAAATGCCTCCAATAATACGGCGAAGAATAAGGCTTGTTCGGAAAAGGGCTAAGAAAGACAGCTGAATTCAACGCGATTCGGACGCAAAGCTGAGATTCATCGTACTTGAGAGCAATGGTTATCTCATTTGGGTTTTGGTGGCACTTCCATTGGCTCCAAATATCAATATAATCACACCTCGAAAACTGGCAAAATACCAAGCTTCCAAGCCCTTTCACAAGCTCGTGAAGGTCCTCGGGTTATGTTTCTCTTCCGAATCGAATAGAACTGTAGCAGACTATCCTTGCTACAAATGTTCAATCCGTTAAAAGCGATGAGAAGCAAAGCCAATGATATGCAACAGAAGCCCAGCTTGACTTGATGAACATGGCATGTATGACGTGAGGTGGAATAAAAGTCCTATAAGTTAACGCTACTCAAAGCACTAAGGTAAATAAAGGGCTGCATTGTGATATTTACCCTACGCGTGCTACTTCCTTGGATTGAGATTCAAATATGTCATGGTGCGCTTTACCCTATTTTAGGCGCTAATTTGCTTTGAGCTTGAAGCTTGAGATAGGCTCATTCAAACCTCATTCACTCGGAATTGTTAACCCCGTGATTAGCATCTGCGCATATCGAGTATTAACAGCAAAGATCACATGTTGAAAACCTAATGCAGTCACCGGTATGTTGTGATATATGGCCCGGACGTAGTCCGGACCTGGCTTAAGTCCGCGCCGGCCGACTTGCAGTGAGACGCCAGGCCGATGCGGGGCCGCTCACATCTTATGCCCTTCGGCTTCAACCTCAAACTCCGGACTTACAAGCCAAAAGACAAAGCATATAAACTCGTTCGCATTAGAAAGCATACAACATGGGTATTCCCAGGGTTCAATCAAAGCTGTACAGAATTTGCAATTCCATCACTATGTCTCATCCGCTTGTTGTCCCAGACAGACCTCTGACATGGCTCATCACCGGCTGCTCATCCGGGTTTGGACTAGCTCTCATAAAACTGGCGGAAAAACAAGGGCACACTATAATCGCTACTTCGCACAAACCCCAAAAAACGCCGGACCTAGTACGTAAAGTTTAGGATAGAGGGGGACGCTAGCTTCCGCTCGATGTTAACGACTTGAACTCGGGAGACCTAATTATGGACCTCGAGAAAGCTAATACTCTAATCGATATACTAGTTAATAATACTAGATAGTCTATTTATAGCCCGGTAGAAGGTTTTATAGAAAAAGAGACGAGGGCATAGATAGATACGGTATTCTTTAGGCCCTACCGATTAATAAGGGTAGCTGTTCCCTTTATATAACAGAGGAATAGCGGTATTATCGTTAATATTAGCTCTGGGGCTAGGTTAGAGGGGAGAGAGTCGATAGGCGTTTATATAGCTACGAAAGCTATAATAGATAGTGAGTGTAATAACCTTTAACCCTCTCGCGAGTTAATAGCTAATAAGATTTCTAATAGGAATTAATAAAGTCCTTGTAAAAGAAATGGCTCCGTTTAGTATCTGCGTTTTAATAGTTACGCTCGGATCGTTTAATATAAATATAGGGCTGACGGTTAGGTTAGCGAGTAAGCCTATGCTTTCGGATTATGACGGTAATGCTCTAGATATAATTTTTAAGGTTATAGCTACATCGGTAATAGAGGGATTTCCTGCCGATAGGGATCATGTTAAGGTAGCTAAGGTAAAATATAAAGTCGTTACCGGCATAGGAGTAGGTGAGGGTAAGGAGAGTGAGAGGATGCTTCCCTTGGGAAGGGATATGGCGAAGAGAGTTGATGATGTCGTTGGAGGGTGGCAGAGGACCATGGAAGTATTCGGAGACGTATGTAATAACGTGTACCTGGAAAAGTAAACGCCGCATGTAGAGTCAAATCTCAACATTGAAGGCTTTTTAAATGCCGAATATTGATATACAACCCCTCCGACAAATGACCTCAAGATAAGTAATGCTTCTGGTGGACTATCATCTTTGTCTTAAAGCTTCTTCAAGCTGCCACTACCTTCATGAAGCCATCTCTACAATCCTCACATGTTGTCAACCTCTTCCAGGCTGACAATCTCCCAACCCTTCTCACCACCACCTAGCACGATTCCCACACCTTCACTCATGTCACTCCATCCCATTCTCCGCAACCCATCCGGCCCATCTTCAGCAAAAGTAACATACAGATCTTGCCATGCACGCGCGACCTTCTCTTCCAACGGCGTAGAGGGGCCACGAGCCCAGTCGTGTGTTCCGAAGATCAAAGGCATGTCTGAGCTGTGGTAGGCTCGCAGCCATGGTCGCGGACTAATATTGGAGAATGAGCTGGTACCAGTAGGTGCAAAGTCTTTGAGCAAGAAGCGGAACGTGGGAGCATGAGCTGAGCGTGTTCTATTAACCAGCAAATTGTCAGTTAGCAGCTGTACTGAGAGTCTGAGACTGTTAGAATGTATGAAGAGAGCATTTCGTACCGCGCCATGGCCACCATAGGTCCCAAGAAGTAGTTTTTTGTAATATTTTCCGCCCAAAAAGGATCAGCCCCGTCGGGATGATACACAGCTACCGAATTCCCTTCGTCGTTCATGGTTCCACAAATCGCCGGCTTGTTGTGACTAGTTAGCGATGATCAACTCGAAATCAGTGAGCGAATTCTAGCTACCAGTTTACTGAAGTTTCCTGCCTTGGCTCTGTCTTCATAATCATCGAACATAGTAAAGTTGTCTACTACAGGCCGAAAGCTCAGAAAAGGCCTCTCCTCAGTAGCCCAGTGATGCTGAATAGCCTCGAGTAGCACTTGCGGAGGTTGTTGTCCCATAAACTCCAGCTCTGCCGCGGCATCACCGCCCGGGAAACCGAGTGCCTTGGCGAGAGCGCTGAAGTGTGTACATTCTGGGTCGCCCACTGGGAGCGGAGGGAGTGCACACCCGGAATGGAGAATGAGGTTTCGCACCAGGGGTTTGTCCGGGTGGAGGAACGCGTGGCAGTCGATGCTGCGGGCGCCTGCTGATTGTCCGAAATGCGTCATTCGCGCTGGATCACCGCCGAAGGAGGCGATGTGCTGGTGTACCCATTCCAGCCCGAGCCGCTGGTCTAGAAATCCTAGATTGCGTTCATTAGGGCTGAGTCCTGCGGCGTTGGGAAAGCCGAAGACGTTCAGGCGATAACTGTATTCGTGTAAGCGCATAGGTCCCCGAGGCGAGATTGGGATGGTTCGAGAGATTCGGTATACTAACTTAATGCTGACAACAATGTGGCGTTTGCTGTTCTCGATCCAGGGCGTTGGATTCTGATAAGGAATCGTAGAGCCGCCGACGAGAAACGCGCCACCCGTGATGAAGACTATGACAGGGAGTTTCGTCTTAGATCCCTCCTTGACCGCATCTTTGGGTGCCCAAATGCAAAGAGAGAGACAATCCTCGGAAGTCTCGTCTCGGATCTGGTGTTCAGTCACATCCGTGTTATAGACTGATGGCCTGCCTCCAAGCTGTTGAGGGCACGAGTATCCAAACTTCGTGGCATCAATGCTGTCGACCGGAGCCTTCGGCGTTGGCGGTAACCACCGGCGCGGCCCTATCGGCGGTTCGGCGAAGGGTATGCCGAGGAATTGGGCGACGTTTGGGTAGTCTCTGTTGATGAATCCTTTGACGGGGCCGAAGGTTGAGTTGACCGTGACATAGTCGACTCCCAACTTGCTTTCACTAACGATGGACATGGTTGATTGAATCCTGTGTTGCAGGTTGCTCCTCGTTGTCTGACGTCGAGGTTGACGAGAAAGGTCCTCTCCAGTGTGCATAGGATGCAAGCTGTCAGCGGGTCAGGTCCCTGGCCCAGGGCATGTTTATGGAACTCCACATAAGGATGCAGGATCAATTGTATTAGTACGGAGTATGAAATCCTGAATAGGCAGCCGTATCTACGGTTCTGAATGGTTTACACATACCGTGGCGCTAGGACTCTTCTCTTCCAGTTAATCCTTTTTCTTGAGATTCTCTTTGTATCTGTAATATCCATCAAAGTACTGTCCTTCATCCTCGGGTGTTATGGCGTGTCGATGGCCCTATCACTACTCCAGCATGGCCCCTGGATCCTGCTTCTTTTTAGGCTCTGTCAGCACCATGGCAGCGGACCCACCTGCTGGAGGATGTCGCCTGTGGTTCGTCCATAGGTAATGCAAATGTCTCCGCATAGCTGTAAATTGGCAACATACCTAGTAAGCAGCGTCTTGATTCTTTGGATGGTCGCCATTTCACGAATAATTGATGTCGCTTACATTCTAGCAAACATAAGGATTCGTTGTTCGTTCGCATAAAATTGAGTGCAACGAGTCGCAAAACCCACATCATTTGTCTGACGGAACAGCGGAGTTGAAGAGGATCCAGTGATGTTAAATAACTGCTATATGAGGTGTAGCCCAACAACGCAGACATGAATTGCTTGCATAAATGAGACTTGCTTATAGTTGAGTCAAGACTCGAGACTGTGTTACACAAAGCATCATTAGCAGGGCATCCACGACTGAACTAAGTGGTGTGAATTGGACCATCATAGGGCCCATCCAACAAAGGAGAGTTTTAGACGAGAGTCAAAAGTTTACTTTCGCACTATTAGTGTTGACTAACGTAGGAAGCAGAGGACACCGGGTATGGATATTCATGACCCGCACCTTCTAAAGCCGGTATCTTTGCAAGGGGCGGCTATTGAGAGGCCGGCTATCTCAAGTTGAAGATGGAAATGCCGTTTTCTAGTATAAAAACAGAAGGACCGTACCGAACATGTTCCAGAGACCAACTCAACAAGCAATTCCAGACGTCTATCAATCCAGTAAATCACCAAGAGAGTCTTCCCACGAAAATGCAGATCAAGGCCGTTGTTCTCTTTCTCACAGCCACGCTGCTTGGCTCTGCGGTAAGATGAACGGGAGTGACTCAATAGACATATCTCCGAAACGCTAACTTTTGATTCAGAGTGCCTTCTGCAGCAAAGATGACTGTTGTTTCAAGGACAACGTGGCACGCGATAAGCACGTAAGTTCTATACTCCCCTTGCGTGCTTCGTTGTGTCTCGTTACTAATGCTAGTTCTGTAGAACGGCGATGCTTTCTACTGCCTGAACGTCATGCACGGAGGACCTTGCCATGCCGACTGCTGTACTCTTGATGGATATGGACGCTCCTGCTAAGGTTCGAGTTGGCGATGGAGAGGTCATCAAGGAATGGCGTTACCGGATTTAGGAGCCGTGGTGCTGAAATGTTCGTCGAAATCAGGCACCGGTGGCAGCAGAAAAGCTTTGAATCTAGAATTTCTGCTTCCTTTCACTTTTGGGCAAGAGAGGTGTCCAAATGTGGAGCAATACTAAGTCTGGAGTGCATTGAAATACCATTGGCACGCCCTCTATGTTCATTAGTATGCGTCTGATGATTAGATTCTAGCATATCATGATAATTTGAGTTCACAACTTTCCGTCTTGTTGGGAATGGTCATAATCGCGCAGTCTTTGAGAACACATCTGCCTGGAAATCTCTTGTCGAGCAAATCGGGATTCATGATAATTTACTTGTAAAATTGTACTTCTAAAATTGGAAAAGTTGAAGCGTTTGCAAAATGCTGAGACGGACGGACAAAATGATTTCCTCTAATGATGCTTGAGATCACCGATTTCAAACTCATAGTGGCTCTTGATGGAGATCCACAATGAGAGTCTGAGAGTGAGTTCCGATGAGATAGTCGTAGAGATTGAGATTCTGATAATTCAACACTCATTATTCGCCTGTGAAAAGCCTTGCAATTGAGATTATGTAACCAACATGAACCCTCATGAGCTCATGAGGGCATCTTGGTGGTACGTCACGATGTGGGTAGCCATGAGTTTGTGTGATTGGACTAGCGGTTGATAGCCAAGATAGCCCTACGAATACGTACCCAGTCACGCCTGTGCAGATAAGATCAATCTGATAAATCCGAGGCTCCGATCGTCCACATCCCGACTGACCTTCCCCATATGATAGGACCTGCAAAAGTGGTTACACTTGCATAAGCGAGAGAGGGTCGCTCCAGCATTGGTGCGACTGTGTGACAAAGAGTTAAAGAAAGCCGCCGAAGAACGGATGTTGACTCGGTTCATACTTGATCCCCCACTACATGGCACACGCGCGGCTGATTCTTTACATCATTCCATAGCGAAAAGGACTCCGAGGCCATCACCCCATGATCACTATCTTACCTACCTGACGTACTATCAAGGACTGACGAACAGCCCTGCTGGCCCAAGATTGCTTTGCTGAGATCAAGTTTCGCGCACTTTGAGATTAAAGTGAGGTCGGTGCTGCTGGTTGCGTGAGCTGCTTCCACTATTCCCCTCAAACCCCGCAGTCAACAACGCTGGTCAAGCAAGATGAGTGCATCAGACGGCACGTTGGTGGTGGGAGTCGACGTTGGAGGTAGGAGGAGACTTTTTTAAATAATTCCGGCTTAAACCTACAGAGTAATGCACAACTGTTCACTTCTTGCGACTAACCATCTTCGCAGGTACCAACACTGACAGCGTGCTCTTGGATGTCTCAAAGTCCAGCACGGATGCTGTCGTCGCATCTCACAAAGCGCCAACAACGTCAAACGTAACTCACTCCGTCCAGGCCACCTTGAAAGCTCTGCTGGACAAGTCAACCGCAGACCCCGCCAACATCACCGCGCTCGCCATCGGCACAACGCACTTCCTCAACGCCATCATTGAAAGAGACACGTCCCGCGTGGAAAAGATTGCCGTCCTGCGCTTGGCATCTCACAACTTTTCAACAGGCACCCCGCCTTTTGCGGACTGGCCCTCGGCATTGAAGCGCATCATCAACGGCCACTCGGCCATCGTCCCCGGCGGTTGCAACATTGACGGCACCCTCATCGGCTCCATTGACGAGGACTCTATCCGCGAGCAAGCCAGGCGCATTAAGTCTAAGGGGCTCAAGAACGTCGCAGTCATCGGCATCGGTTGCAGTACTGACAAGGACTACCACCAGGAGGATGAGGTCCGCAAAATCCTGCTCACCGAGCTGGGCGAAAATGTCAACATTATCCTGTCCCGCAACATCGCCGGACCGGGACTCCTTGCCCGCGAGAATGCAACAATCCTCAACGCCTCGATTCTCAACTTTGCACAGCGCACCATCCGAGCCTTCATCGGCGCCATGCGCCGTATTGGTCTTCAGTGCCCGCTGTACTTGACCTCCAACGCCGGCCACCTTCTGCCCTTCTCGGAAGCCATGCAGGCTCCCATCAGGATCTTCTCCTCGGGCGCGACGAATTCCATTAGAGGTGCTGCATTTCTCGCAAAGGACTCGATAGACAAGTCGGGCAGCATCGTCGTCGACATCGGCGGCACCACGTCCGACGTGGGATATTTGTTGAGCAACGGATACCCCAGATTATCCAAGAGCTACACGGCCTTGGCCGGCGTCAAGGTGAATCTGGAGATGCCTTCCGTCGAGAGTATCGGTCTTGGAGGAGGCTCCATCATCCACAGCGCGGACGATGGTCCAGTAGCTGTTGGACCTGACAGTGTAGGCCACGACCTAATTACGAAGGCCCTATGCTTCGGAGGCGATGTCACAACCGCGACAGACGTCGCAGTGGCTTCAGGTGCTAAGATCGGCACCACGGCTGTATCTCTGGCGAGCGACGTTGTCGAAAAGGGCAAGGCTCGTATCCGCAAGATGCTCGAGGCCGTCATCGATCGCGCGAAGTTGTCTCCCGAACCATGCACAGTCATCCTCGTCGGCGGTGGCTCGATTCTCTGTCCTTCGGAGCTCACAGGTGTCAGCAAGGTCGTGGTCCCTGTGCACGCCGGTGTCGCCAACGCAATCGGCGCATCTATTGCCAAGATTTACGGCTCCGCTGAGACGATTATCCACGGCTCAGACATCCAGAGCGGCATCGCAGAAGTTAAAGCCCGGGCTATCCAGAATGCAGTCGCCAAAGGCGGCGACGAGAGCTCCGTGACGGTCCTCCACGAGGAGATTGCGGGTGTTCCCTACGTGGAGAACCAGACCTCCATCAAGATTGAGGTGGCGCTGCCGGCAGACCATAAGCGCGTGTACTCGGAGATGGTGAAGACGGCCGCACCTGACCAGCTGGTTAACGAAGAGATGTTTGAAGAGACCAAGAAGCACGAAGCCGAGGACGCGGAGGATCACCCGGAAGACGAGGTCGTTGATCTCAAGAGCTATAAGCCCAAGGTCGAATCCAATGGCTTATGGACGCTCTCCGAAACTGATCTCAGGTTCTTGTCCATTGGGTGCTACATTCTGGGCTGCGGCGGCGGCGGTTCTCCGTACGCGCCTTACTTGCAGTTGAAGCAGCTGTTGGCCGAAGGCGAATCGATGAAGATTATCCGGATCGAGGACCTCAAAGACGACGAGATGATGCCGCCGGTCGCTAGCGTCGGTACGCCTGCTGTAAGCATCGAGAGACCCGGCGGTGACGGAGTCTGGCACGCCATGCAAGAGATGGAGAAAGAGATGAAGACCAAGTTCGAGAAGCTTATCGCCACAGAGATTGGCGGTGCCAACGGAGTCGCCACGCTCATCTGGGGAAGCTCGCGCTACTACGACATCCCGACCGTCGACGGTGACATGATGGGACGCGCATACCCCCAGTTCGAAATGGTCTCGCAGTACATCCACGCCAAGTCTGTCAACGAGCTCCTCCCCGTAACCCTTTGCAG